GTGTGTGTGTATGTGTGTGTATGTGTGTGTGTATGTGTGTGGTGTGTGTGGTGTGTGTGGTGTGTGTGGTGTGTATGTGTGTGTATGTGGTGTGTGTGGTGTGTGGTGTGTGTGGTGTGTGTGGTGTGTGGTGTGTGTGGTGTGTGTGGTGTGGTGTGTGTGGTGTGTGTGGTGTGTGTGGTGTGTGTGGTGTGTGTGGTGTGTGTGGTGTGTGCGAGGTGTGTGGTGTGTGTGGTGTGTGTGGTGTGTGTGGTGTATGTGTTGTTTGTGGTGTGTATGGTGTATGTGGTGCGCGTGTGTGTGGTGTGTGTGGTGTATGTGTTGTTTGTGGTGTGTGTGGTGTATGTGGTGCGCGTGTGTGTGTGGTGTATGTGTTGTTTGTGGGGTGTGTGGTGTATGTGGTGTGTCATGGACACGAGTGATGGTGGAGGGTGGTGTTGGTGGTTAAAATATAAGAGACTAAACAGTAAAAAAATATTTACAAAACATTCGATTTAAAGTTCATTTCTGAGGGAAAGTGGCCATTCGCAATGCCTCTACCGTAAGTAAAACGGATAAAACCGGTCAACTTTGCCACCTACTGCGAGGTGGAGTTCCAGCCAAGACCCAACTTAAACCTCATAATTGGCCACAATGGCACGGGGAAGATGACCGTGGCATACTGGGCCTGGCCGGAAAACCAGGCAGCCCCCTACTCTGCAGGCGAAAATAATAAATAATGATAATAAACTCGTTTTTTTTAATAATCTCAAAGCGCAATACATCAAAGGTAAAAAAAACACGTTCTAAAAATAAAACTCTGACACCAGTAAAAAAAAACTATCACAATACACTAAAAAAATAAAAATAAGGCCAACTGACTTTCGGTGGGAACCAATGAGGCTGGGATTCACGAGCTGGGAGGGAGGGCAACCTGGTCATGTGGCCTCCAACGGCCTCCAACGGCCTCCGCGTGATCCCTGGGAGGCCACAACGGCTCACAGCGGCAGGCGGAGGAGATCGTGAGCAACTTCAACATCCAGGTCAAGCTGTTCCCGTGTTTCGACCGTCTAGGGCCCACGGAGAGGTCAGTGGTGGTCTCAAAAACTCTACAACCTCCAGAGACTTAAGGTCCCTGCAGGGGTCAAACAGTCGGGGTCAAACAGTCGGGGTCAAGCAGTAGGGGTCAAGCAGTAGGGGTCAAGCAGTAGGGGTCAAGCAGTAGGGGTCAAGCAGTAGGGGTCAAGCAGTAGGGGTCAAGCAGTAGGGGTCAAGCAGTAGCCTTCAGTAGGGCGGTGGAGGACGAGCAGCTGCCGCAAATGCAGCTAAGTTATTTAATGTTTGTCACACATTTATTTTTAATAACTTTATCGTTTTTAACATTTTCCTTTTTTTTTCAAATTACAGTGTTAATGTGTGCGTGGGTTTGTGTAAATGTATTTTTTGTGCCCTAAATATCCTCAGTTTAACACTTCACGGTTTGGTTTGTACGTTTTAAAATTATCGGGTTTTCACGCGGGCTTTTTTTTTTGCCTCCGTTCAACTAATTAAGATAGGTGTTTGTGCGTTCGCATTTATGCGCTAGCGTCTTTTTATATTTGTGTGTTAGTGTGCAAGTTCGTATGTGCCATTTAATGTGGAGTACTGTACACCGCTGTACTGTATAGTGGAATGCGGATGGGTAAAACACAGCGTGACGTAGAGTCGTGTACCGTAGCGTATGATCAATATTACAGTCTGTGGTGCAACTAATTGTGTAGGTGTAGTATATAGTGTATTGTAGGTATAGTATAGTGGTTTGTAGGTTTAGCATATAGTGTATTGCATGGACTATAGGTCAGTGTATCCATAAGAGGTTTTGGGGGTTTTGATCACGTAAATATGCGTTGTTAAACCCACCGCCACCCGACACAACCAATCAGTAAGGTTTGTCACGTAAACAGAACACGCCAATTCGTTACCAGTACAGCACACCGGTGTGCTGGAGAGTAGATCCACAACATTTACAATCCGAGTACGACGTTTTGCCAGTAACCGCAACTGGCATCATCAGGCGGCAGCCAGATTCGTGGAGAAATCTTCCTCCTGTTTCGTTCCTTAAATAGAGGGGTAGGTGTGATGACGTCACTTGCGAGTCCTTCACGTGCCGGGGGGGCGGGATTAATGAATGCATATTCATTACAATGGGTATCCATTACCGGCATGGGAGAGTGCAGTGTGAGGTTGAATACAGTGAGGTTGACATGAGTGAGTAGGGGGTGTGTGGTGAGGTTCAAGCGAGTGCGAGCAGGCGGTGCGCGTATGTCTGTGTGCGCGCGTGGGTATGTCGGTCCGCCAAAAAAACAACCCCCACAACCCCCCCCCGACCCGTCCACCTTCAATTAAATTGCCACGACGCTATGAATTAAAGATCAAACTAAGCTTGCGCCGGAGACCTCGGGGGGACAGGCGCCCAAGAAAAATCTTCTGGCCAAACCAGCATTTGGTGGAGACAGGAGACTTGTGCCCACACCCTCGGGGCTCCTCCAAAAAGACACCGCGGGTGGCCACGTCGAATGTCCGAACTCTCGCTGCGGAGAGGCTGCCACTCCCCTGTAGGGAGCCGGACCGGTACCGCCTGAATCTCTCTGGTATTTAGGTTCTGGCTCCAGTCACTAGGAGGGGTGGGACAGTGCTTTACTCGGGGGAGGAAACTGCCAAAAAAAAAACAGGGAGTGGCTCTTCTGCTGAAGAAAAGAAAGCAGGAGTTTGTGGGAGCACGGCGATCAGAGGTATGGGAAGCGGAAAGTCCCAGGCTACCGTGGGCTCACCTCCCCATCAACGGGAGGCAGGGAGTGGTGGTGGTGGTGGCTTACTCCCCCATTGAAGATGAACATCAGTGGAGGGATCCAGGCGAGGCTCATGAGTCAGGTGCCTTACATAACCTCCTGTCACAGGTGCTAGCAAAAGTGGCCCCTCAGGATAGAGTAATACGGGGGATCTTTGCCCTTTTTGTGCATGTGTGGAAATGCGAAAAATAAATCTCTCTAAAGGAACAAATGCGCGAGTTAGAAACATTCAGTGTGGCCTGCCTATGATCCATCCTGGGTTTAACCAGGCTGGATTGTGCGTGGAGTTCACAGTCCCAAACAGTGAGCTCCTCCAGCAAACGCGGCTGCTTGTGGTGTGTGCAGTGCGTGGATTGTGCGGTGTGATGCGTGGTTTGTGCGGTGTAGTTTGTGGTGTGCAGTGTGCGGTGCGTACGGTGCGGTGTGTACGTGGTTTGGGTGCGGTGTGTGCATGGTTGGGTTTGTGGTGTGAGATTCGTGCGGTGCGGTGTGCGGTGCGGTGTGCGTGTAGCAAACACCACATACGCTCCTCACGTGAAATATTATCTGGACCAGGAGGGGGGGGGGGGGTGCGCAACATCACCGAGCCGCGAGAGCGAACGGGAATGGCTGTGTGCGAGGGATAATAACAAATCCAGCGCCTGGAAAGCTCCGTCAACACGGTTATGCCAGGGCCGGTCACGAACGCTCCCCGCGGTCTTACGTTCAATTGCAACGAGCTGCATTGCCATCGTGTGAAGAAAGTCTTTGTGACCTCTGTATTTTTTAATATATATGTACACGAATAAATATTATTATTGGGCAATCCTCAATTACACGTGCAAAACTGACAGCAGTACGGCTCAGTTCTGGCCAGGTAGTGTGTAGTTTAAATAAAAGTTAAAAAAAAAAAAATTCTAAAATCGCTCTCTCCGGTAGAATTCTGGGCTGGTACTGCTACGCGTCGCCCCACACGACGTCCGTTGTTTCACTCTGTGCGCTGGGAGCTTCTTCTTCTTCTTCTTCGGAAAGCCCGGAACGGATATTCACTGCGAAAAAGCCTCCCGGGGCAACGGTCGAATGAAACGTCGGGGGGGGGGGGGGGGGGGGGGGGGGAACACCAAAACTACGGGCGTATGGTACAAACCAAGCGCACCACGCCACCGAAAGTAACGTCGGGGAGCGACGCAGCAGCTCAACCCGCGAACGCCCCTGGCGGAGGTCGTGTCATCTCGCGCAAGCGGCACCAGGCCATTTTCCGCGGGTCACGTTGTGCGGCTGGCAGCAGGTTTTTAGGGCCGCGTGCGAAGGGCTGGCCAAGTATTTTTGTTTCCTGGCCTCCCCTCCTCCTCTGTCCCCAGCAGCGCTTTCGTACGCGACAATTTCCCCGGTTGGCAGCCACTCGACCCGTTTCTCCCCGCTGCCCGCATTTGCCTCCAAGCCCGGAACGCAGCGGAGAGGAACGCGCCTCCGGACATGAACACAGCCCCTGACCGCTCGCTCCGGGGGGGGGTTAAAGATGCTCTGAGAAAAGAAGCGATGCGATGTCGCGTCATTACGCACCTTTGGTAGAGGTGGCAAAGCGCCATGGGGGGGGGGGTGGGGGGTCGGGGCGGGTGCGGGGGGGGGGCGACACCTTCCCCTTCGCTCATATTTTTTAAAAAGTAAACACAGCGATCGATTTAAAAACGACACGCTTTGGGAGAAGCCGCAAACACAAACACACACGCATAAATAAAATCCTGGTCAAGGTTGCCATGACGGTTAAGACGGAGTCTTTCGCGATATGATACGGTTCAAATGCAGCCGGGAGCGCCAATGGCTTCCGTTTCAGTTTTGGCGTCACCCCCGTTTCGCGCTTGAAAACGACGACGACAATGACGGCGGTAGCCGACGAGCAACAAATAAAATAAAACACTGACAAGTGAGCTCAAGCGACAAAATGCAAAACACTTAGTATTCTACCGTGCTGTGCACGCAACATCCCGGACATCAGAAACCCTGTTGAGTGCAAAGACATCTGCAGTTTAAACCCTCAAGCCCATCGTGACACACCAAAATAAAAACTAAGCTATTACTAAACTATTTTTTTATTTTACCAGGTAAGGCCCACTGAGCTGCACAACTCTTTTTTTCAGAAGCGACCGTGCCATCACAAGTGATAGCTCAACGAAGTGGCTTATTATCACATGGAAATTTCATAGCAGCCGGACAGAGACACGCAAACTCCAAATATGCAGCAGCAGCAGCAGGCGTCAGGGTCGGGATCGAACCCACGACCTCCTGCGTACCAGGCGAGGGAGTTAACATCTCATAGCCACCGTGGCGGCTCGTCGGGCAATCGTCCGCGGGGCAATCGTCCGCGGGGCAATCGTTGCCGGTAAAGTTGGGGGCCACGGCGGCATTATGGAGGTTGGCCGGAGATTCTTCCGGCCAACGCCAAAACAGGCGCCTGTCGATAAGACGCGTCCGACGAGCGGCGGATTGGACTACGGGAGAGCACACGGCCCTCGGGCGTAGCCACGCGACGCCCCGCGTCGCGACCCGATTGGAAGTTCGCGGATTCCCGGTCGCCCGCTGCACAGGAAGGGGGCAGCCCGGTTTGTCCAAAGGTTCTCCACGGCTAGGAGCAATCGTCGCCGCAACGGTCCTACGGTCACGGTTGCCTTTCGCGTTGCCCCCCGCGCGTGCGCCCCCTCGCCCGTCGATGATCTCGGGGTGTGTCTTAAAAGCCAAACAAGTCGGTTTTAAGCCTCGTCTGTCTGTTTTCTCAGTAGAGAGCACGCAACGTGCATCGACACGTACAACGATTACCCACAAAACAGTCTTTAAATTATTGCCTTATAAGAGTATTTACATCGCAATCGGCGGTTGTTGTCGTCGTCGTCTTCGTCGTCATCTGTCTAGCTGCAGCGTCGCATTTTTTCCGTTACCGGTGGCTCCGGCAACGTCGCGCCCCGTGGCCGCGAAGAGGAAGCCGCCAGGGGGAACGCCGTCGGTGCGGCGAGCCCCGCTCGTCCTCCTTCCTGGAACCGGAAAAATATATATATAATAATGATGATAAAATTATTTACGCATTTATTTTAATTTCATGCAAAATTCCAAAGAAACAAATCCACACCGCCGAGGTCAATACAGCGATCGCACGCGCACGACTTTAACCACAGGTATCAGAATAACAATTCTTTATTTACACTGCAGGAAGAATCCAATGAGCTAGGAAGCGCTTTTTTCCCACGAACGTTGCAACAGGACAAAAACACAGGAAAGTCAAACAACCCCCCCAAAAACATACAAGTAAAACTCAACAATCCTCATCCTACCTGGCAAAGCCCAATGAGGTATTAACTTGTTTTTTAGAAGCGACTGGGCCGCAAATGATAGCTGAGCAAAGTGGCTTATCGTACGGAAGTTTCTCGCAGCACGTGGCTACGCTGCTGCACTTGGCTACGCTGCTGCACGTGGCTACGCTGCTGCACGTGGCTACACTGCTGCACGTGGCTACGCTGCTGCACGTGGCTACGCTGCTGGTGGTGGCTACGCTGCTGCACATGGCTACGCTGCTGCACGTGGCTACACTGCTGCACGTGGCTACACTGCTGCACGTGGCTACGCTGCTGCACATGGCTACGCTGCTGCACTTGGCTACACTGCTGGCGGTGGCTACACTGCTGCACGTGGCTACGCTGCTGCACGTGGCTACACTGCTGCACGTGGCTACACTGCTGCACGTGGCTACGCTGCTGCACATGACTGTGCTGCTGCACATGGCTGCTGCACAATGGCTACGCTGCTGCACATGGCTACGCTCCTGCACAGCTGCTGCACATGGTGATCTAGCGCTGTGAAGGCGGCGGCGAGGATTGGTGGATCGCCTCACAGATGGTGCGCAACTCCCTTCTCTACCCGTGAGTAGGCACCGAGCAGGATCCGTGAGAGCGCCGGCTCTCCAGGAGACGGCGGCACTACAGCAAAAAGAAATCTGTGTGGGATCGAGCGTTGCCCCCCCTCCCCCCTCCGGCACCTGTGGGTTCTCTCCGTAAACTGCGGTTTCCTCCCACATGTGAGCGGCGACACAAAATGACACTCAAGTTTCGCTGAGACTCGTGACCATATATAAGAATAGGTTTTACCCCTTTCTGGCAAGAAAACAGCTGTGTTAAAATGTTAAAACACCAAACTGAAACCTTTTGCAAGGAATCATGTCTGCATCAACCACAAACTTGTGGTGCAAACAAAAATACACGCTCTGCTATTAAATGAAGCATTGTCTTTGAAACTGATTTGTCCACACCAGAGACAGCTTTCTTTAGAGCCTCGTCTCACTAACAGTGTGAGACCAGAGGACGCCAAAAGGCGAACAGCACAAAGACAATGCCACTATCAGGGGATTCAGAGCTCGGGGTGAACATCTCTACGAGAGTTATAGTGCTGACCCCTCCACGCCAACCAGTTCTAGACTGACAGACATGCAGACGGACACACAGCCAGATGGAGAGATGAAATGAGACGGACACACGGACAGAGCTAACCCATGAAACGTTTCGAACCTCGGCAGGAAAGCGTTCGGAACGACACCGGAGCCCTCGCCGAGGCTGCATCGCCCTCCCACTCCCCACCACCCCCCCCACCACCCCACCCTCTATCACCCCCCACCCACCACCCCCCACCACCCCCCACCGGCTCACCCTCGGTGGAGGCCCGGCGGCGGCGCTCCCCCACGCGGCGGAGGTGGCGGCTCACTCCGGGACCGCCCTCTCGGCCTCGCGCTCACGCTGGTAGTGCGCGCGGCTGAGACGCATCTCCGTCAGCTGGATGTAGCGTTTCACGTTCAGGTCTGCGAGCGGTCGGCAGCCAGGGTGGGGTGGGGTGGGTGGGGGGGAGGGGAGAGCGTCGTGCGACAGAAGTTTGAAAAATCCTCTGAATGCAAGAAACATTTTGGACCCGAGAATCATTCTCCAAGCTCCGGGCCTTGGAGTCCGGGGCCTCGGAGTCCGGGGCCTCTGAGTCCGGGGCCTCTGAGTCCGGGGCCTCTGAGTCCGGGGCCTCGGAGTCCGGGGCCTCGGAGTCCGGGGCCTCGGAGTCCGGGGCCTCGGAGTCCGGGGCCTCGGAGTCCGGGGCCTCGGAGTCCGGGGCCTCGGAGTCCGGGGCCTCGGAGTCCGGGCCTCGCCCACCCACCGTGAGGCTGCCGCGTGCCAGCGTCGCGCAGGTAGGCGAGCGCGTTGGGGTAGTCCCCCAGGTGGTAGTAGGCCACGCCGGCGCGGTACAGCGCCTTGAAGTTGTCCGTCTGCCGCTGCAGAACCTTGAGGCAGTAGTCGCGCACACGCTCGTAGTTCACCAGCTCCGCTTGCAGCAGGCACGCTGTTTGGAGAAGGCGGAGGGAGTGGGCGGAGAGGGAGATCGTTAAATTTTAGTGACAAAATGACGGGCGTAGTCCGTCGCACCACCACCGGTTCTACTTACGAGCTGGACCGTGCGAACAAAAAAAAAAGGTAAAAATAAAGCACAGCCCTGCAAATTTATTTTCTCGCCATCGCTGGCAGAAGAGCCTGAAATAGACGGAGCCCCCAAAAGAGGCTCCACCCCACCCCTGCTAACAGTGCGTACTTTGGCCTCCTCTTCCACGCCGGCCAGATGTACGTCCAGTAAGCATGCATCAGCAAGCCCTCGCTGCGTGCGAGTCCAGCGTTCGCGAGTTCCGCACGTTCACGAGTTGCTAAAAGTCTACAAATGACCTAATCGCGACAGCCGCCGAACTCGCGAGTTGCAGGCAGCGCCAAACCACCGACACCGGGGAGGTGCGCGTAGAATGTGGTCACATTTGAAACGGTCTGCGAATTCTAGGCACGCTCCCTCGACCGCCCGCTTAATGTTAACTCCCTCGCCTGGTATGCGAAAGGTCGTGGGTTCAATCCCGACCCTGACGCCTGCTGCTGTATATGTGGAGTTTGCGGTGTCTCTCTCCCCGTTGTCGCTTTGTGAATTTTTCTCCGGGTCCTCCGGGTGTTTCCCTCCATATTTAGAATCAACATCAACGCGTTTAGAGTATTCGGCTGATAGAAATGTCCAAATTATAGGCCACTTTGTTGAGCTATCATTTGTGATAGCCAGGTCGCTTTGTGAAAATGAGCTACACAGCTGAGTGGGCCTTCTGGTAAAATAAAAAGTCAAAAATAGTGCAGCAGTCCTCGCAGTAATCCCGCTCTGAACTTGCTCTTTGCGGTCGACTCGTTGGTACACTTCGTTGGCACACTTCGTTGGTACACTTCGTTGGTACACTTCGTTGGTACACTTCGTTGGTACACTTCGTTGGTACACTTCGGCGCGTGAACGGGTCGACGGCGAGGTCCGGTAAAAAGGCGGCGAATGCAATCAGGGGAAACGTTGTGGCTCGCGCTCCCCCAGAGTGCTAAGATAACAACGGTGCGGCGTTGTTGTGAAACACCCTGGCATCTCCCCAGGAGTCATCCTCCTCAAGTCCTCATCATCGCCACCACCTGCATCGTCGTCTAGACATCATCGTCGTCATTAAAGGTGATCATTAAAACAACTGTTCTTTGATTTAATCATCGTCGTCACCGTTATTAAACATTTACCAATTCCACCGCAATGTTCACTCGTACCAGGAAGGTAACCCCGATGATCCCATTGGAACGAGGCTTCTGCATTCGCGAATTCGGCATTTGCGTACCGTACGTAGCCAACCGTGCTAACCTATCTATGTTGAACTTCTTTCGCGCCGTACGTAGCCAACCGTGACTAATCGGAGGTGAGCGGGAAGGACAACAAACTAAACACAAAAAGAAGTTCCAAAGAAATGAGTTTTTAAATCTAGATTTAAAATTACTTGGCTCCCAGTGGCTTCCTAATATCGGAAGAGCGTTCCAGACGGCCGCAGAAACCGCGTGATGCGGTGACCGCCTTTCTTCGACGGTTAGCCAAAAGCCGCTGCTGCGAGGATGACGGAGTTCACGTGATGGTTTATGCTCCTTGCTGACGAGGTCAGGCTGTGAATCGGTGCGTCTCGTGCGAGCGGGGCAGTCGTTCCGTGTTGCGTGCTCGTGTGTTTTACAACCGTGTGGAAAATGTCAAGCAGCAGCCGAATACTCTGAACGCATGGCGATGTCGATTCGAAATGTGGAGGGGGAAAAACCGGATGACCCGGAGAAAAATCCACGCGATCACGGGGAGAGAGAGAGAGAAACACGCAAACTCCAAATATACAGCGGGTGTCAGAGTCGGGATCGAACCCACGACCTCCTGCATACCAGGCGAGGTAGTTAACATCTCATAGCCACCGTTTGCCGAGGCCGCACCGTTAACGCCGCACGGCAGGGCGCGTCACGCCAGTCTCGGCAGCGTGACGGCGGGGGATGACCGCGGCACGTTTTGGGATGCAGTCTGCGGCAGCATCCCAAAAATAACAACGCGAAATGTCCAAGGGATTGCATTTCACACTCTTCCGCACTGTCGGCCGGCTCGACACGACTGTGCCGGGCGCCGCTGGAAGAAGAGCGGCGTCGCGCGTCAAAAGCGGGAGGCGCTGCGGCATCCCGCGGGCGCGGCAAAGCGGGAGACGCGAGCCCTCCGCTGCTGTCACGCGGAGAGAGGCAACGCGTCCGCTTGAGCCTGAACCACTCCCCGCAGCCACAGCCGCCTCCTCCACCCTCTCCTTCCTTCACTCGTTCCCTGCCTCCCACCTATTACCTCCCAACTAACCCCCTCCTCCACGCTCTCCTTCCTCCTAGTCTTCTTTCGCCTGGATGAAGTTTGTGCGGCAAACATCAATCGCGGTCCAACGTTGATGTCTGACCCTCCGTTAAATTATCTCCCTTTCCTGCCAAACCTCCCTCGCCTCCCTCCCTCCCTTCATTCCCTGCTAATCCCTTCCTCCCTCACCCACTCTCCACCCACTCTCCATCCACTCTCCACCCACCGAAACCCCAAGGTTCAACCCGGCTCCGAGGCGTCAGTCACGGCTGCCGAGTGCGACTCCCGGCTGCGGTGCCAACGCTGCCCTTGATACGGACACGGTCCCTCGTGACGCGCGGCACCACACACACATGTACAAAGATCACCCACATAGCCTTAAACAGACCGTTAGGGCAAGCGCAGTTAGCGAGCCCCAAATTAAAGCCATCGCGCTGCACGGGGCGGTGGGTGGTTGGCGCCACCCACTCGTTGCACCGTGCTGCTTTACACACGGCACCAGGTACTCGTTTGATGCCGAGTCGACCTTGCGGAGGCCCAGGATCGGCGCAGTTAATCGTCACCCGTGTTGGCCGTGAGCGGGAATCGAACTCGGGTCGCCGGGTTTGAATGTTTGTGCGTTGAACTTATTTCGCACCGTACGTAGCCAACCGTGCTAATCGGAGGTGCCGGAGGAAGGACACCAAATTAGCCACCAAAAGCAGTTCAAAAGAAATGAATTTTCAATACGAGTGATATGGTGGTAGTGGTGGTACAAGTGGCATTGGGGGTGCAGTGCTGCCGGACCACTGTTTGCCGGGTTCGTAGCGTGGCGCGCTAACCGCTGCACCACCACTACCCACACAAAAAAGACAAAGATCCCCCGTGTAGCCTTAACAGACTGTTAGGGCAAGTGCTGTTAGCAAGTAGCACCTGTGAAGGCCGTTACGGTACACGAGGGGGGGGATGGCCAGCACCACGCCCGACCGCCTTTGTGTCCCGAGTTGTGATGTCTACACACCGCACCAGGTGCTCATTTTAGGCTGAGTCGATCTAGTGGAGGCCCAGGACCGGTTCATACATTCGTCATTGGTGTTGGCCGTGAGCGGGAATCGAACTCTGGTCGCGGGGTTCATAGCGCAGCGCGCTAACCGCTACACGCACACACACGGACGCAAGCACGCGCACCGCAAGCACACGCGGACACACGCGCGCACCGCAAGCACAGATGCACACACGCACCGACACTCCGCGCTGGCCGCGCGCACAAGACGCACGCTCCCCCTAATGGACGTCATTCATATTTGATGCCGCGCGAGAACAAATGCGCCGTGCCCTAGGGCGGCCGAGAGCAGCGCCGCAGCTCCACAGCGCAAACTAAAATGGAAAAGGGAGAGAGAGAGAAGCGGAGGATTGCCGAAGTGATGAGCGTGTGTGTGTGTACACGTGTGTGTGTGCACGTGTGTGTCTGTGTGTGTGCACGTGTGTGTGTGCACGTGTGTGCACGTGTGTGTGTGTGTACACGTGTGTGTGTGTCTGTGTGTGTGTGGGGAGCGGTAGTGTAGCGGTTAGCGCGCTGCGCTATGAACCCGGCGACCCGGGTTCGATTCCCGCTCACGGCCAACACCAGTGACGATTATCTGAACCGGTCACGGGCCTCCCCTAGGTCGACTCAGCCTCAAATGAGCACCTGGTGCGGTGTGTAAACATCGCCACTGGGGAGACAAAGGCGATCGGGCGTGGTGCTGGCCACCCACCCCCTCGTGTACCGTTCCGGCCTTCACAGGTGCTCGCTAACAGCACTTGCCCCTACAGTCTGTTAAGGCTATATGGGAGATCTTTATCTTTGTCTTTGTGTGTGTGTGCACGTGTGTCTGTGTGCACGTGTGTCTGTGTGTGTGCACGTGTGTGTCTGTGTGTGTGCACGTGTGTGTCTGTGTGTGTGCACGTGTGTGCGCGTGTGTGCGCGTGTGTGCGCGTGTGTGCGTGTGTGTCGAGCGGTGGTGTAACGGTTAGCGTTACGCTGCGCTACGAACCCGGCGACCCGGGATCGATTTCCGCTTGCGGCCAACACCGGTGACAATTATCTGAACTGGTCCTGGGCCTCCCCTAGGTCGACTCAGCCTCAAATGAGTACCTGGTGCGGTGCTGGCAAGCCACCCCCCTCGTGTGCCGTGCCGGCCTTCATAGGTGCTGCTCGCTAACAACACTTGCCCCGACAGTCTGTGAAGGCTATACAGGGGTTATTTGTGCCCTCCCTTCTCTATGCTTGCGAAACGGAGATCTTCTTAAAAGGAACATCTTCACACCGGTTTCAAACATTCAGGCTGGCCCTGCCTACGATCCATCCTGGGTTTAACCAGGCAGGATTGTGTGAGCTCACAGATCCTTGAAAGAGCTGGACGCAGTCCCATCGGTGAGCTCCTCCAGCAGACGAGGCTGCGTTGACTGGGTCACATCGCCCGCATGCCCAGCCACCGCATGCCCCAAAGCAACTTCTGTTTGACCGGATAGAGGAAGCTAAACACGTTCGCGGCATAAGCAAGAGAAGAGCTGGACTGATGCGGTACAGGAGGACGTGGAGCTGAGTGGACTTGCCGATGACCGGTACCGGCGGTGTCAAGATCGGCCGCATCCTTCACGAGGAGGCTCGTGAAGGACGCGGCTGCTGC